AAAAGGATGTTGGAGGAGACAAACGACAGATGTAATTCAAACTCTTTTGAATTTTATATAAATATAAGATAGGATATCCTGGTATAATTTTTACATATATGCAATACTGACAGATGCTGGGTGTCTGTTACACAATGTTTATCAATTTTAAATGTACAAATTATTGTTTAGGGTAATCTTGTGTAATTCTTGGGTCAATATTACAAAAAACTAACAATCAGTTCTTTCAGTTTCAGATTTTGAATAGCCTCCTTTCAGATTTAAATTGAACAGGCAACCATTATTTTTAGTGCTTAAAAACACAGTGGTGTCCCCTTGGAAAAGTCCAATTAGTAGCAGCCATTGTCTAATGAGGTGAAAATGATAATCTAAGAAAGTCTATCGATTGTTATAAAAGCAAGGTATTATAATTCAAGCATATTTCCAGATGCCAGTGGATTGCTGGAAAGCTACAAGTTTAACTTTCCGCCCTGATAGAGTTTTAAAAGAGGTCAGGGTACGTTTTACCATAGTGTCTAGCAATGTGAGTTTATTCAGACCTTTTGGCAGACATTCCTGCACACTCAAGCTAAATCAATGAATCATCCATTGTTGGCCAGCTCCACTCTCAGTTGCTAAGAGATTTTTCTAGCATACCAAGGCTTTATTCTACATGGTCTGTAAAAAGGGCAAAATGTATTAAATTTTAAAATGTGTCATCTTTTCTAAATTAGTAATTAAAACTTTGCCCAGAACTTTGATATTGGGGCAATGGGAAAGTGCAGTGGGAGGACTATCTGCTTAGGAAAATACACGAGAAAATTTCCTGTTAATAACTCTTCAGAAATATGTGTGTGAAGGAAATGGAAATGTTTAAAAAGCGGACACAGACACCAAAAACAAAAACTTAACCAGGAAGGTCTAAATCTTTTAAAGAAATACAATGTGTATTTGTTCTTATATGTTTCAAATGAAGATTTTCTTTAATTTTTATTAAATATGCTTTAATTTTACTTGTTTCTCTTTGAGTCATAAAGACTTTCTATAATTTGGCATATTATTTTAAAGCTTTGATATAATAGTTTTTTTAAAACATAAAAATAACAAACTATCATAAAAGAATGTAACTTTTTTTGGCTTGCTCTTTATGAATGTTTAAAGTATATTCTGTTCTTTTTTTTTTTTTTTAAATAGATAGCATGGTAATGTATTCCTTTTTTTAAAGAAAATGTGGTTTTATTAATATTTTTTTTTATATTCTAGGATGTTGTTGCGGAGCAGTTAGGAGGAAGGGGGAGAGGGGAAAGGGGAAGGAAATGTGGTGGAAAAAGGAGGAAAGAGGAGGGGCAGGATTGAGGCCTCTGGCACCCCCCCTCATTCCCATAGGGGAGACCGGGGGGGTTCCAGCAGTGTCTTGGTCATTGCCGGGCTGGGTGCTGATATCAGGTTGGTGTGGCAAAAGCTCTCGGCCCCCCACCACCATGGCTCAGGAGATCCTGGGTTACATCCTATGGCTGCTCAGTGGTCACTGCTGGGCTGGTTGCAGGTGTTGGGGGGGCATGGCTGAGGCCAGAGGCTCCCCACTGCCCTGGCTCAGGAGAGCCCGGGGCACTTCTTGCAGCAGCTTGGTGGTATTCACTGGGGTAGTTCCACGTGTCAGGGGAGTGTGGCCAAGGCCCTTGTCCCCCACCCTCAGGACTGGTTGTGGATATCGGGGACATGGCTGAGGCCCCCAGCCCTCCCCCCCTTTCTGGCTAGGTAGCCCAGGAGACTTCCAGTCCTTCTAAGTGTTATAGGTGTTCTTTGGTGAAATGAGAGCTAGTTAATATGAAACTTTGTCTCTGGATGCAGGTACTTTGTTTTTTCTTTCAGTTCTATGTTGGTTTATTTGCTGTTCCCATCACTTAAACTGTGCAGTGGAACTAATTTGTTGTCCTTTGCTTACTTCTAAAATCAGGGAGCTTCTTGTGGGACCAGTATTTGAGCTGTGTGGTTTGGCTAAATTGCTGCTTTGCTGCTGATTCCCTAGGGAAGGCTTTTTGTGCAGCTCAGGTTTTAATGGTTGACTTTAAAGGTACTTCCAGTTCTAGTGAAATCTGGTGCAGCTGGGTTGTGTAGAAACTCTAGGCTGGGCCTGAGACTTTTCATCAAACTGCACCCCATGCAATTCTATATTCCTGACCAGTCTTCTCTGAGTAGTCCTGCGCTGATTGGGGGACAGATCAGCTGTCCTTGCTGTGCCCCTGTGTTCCCCTGGGCACCCGTCTACCTCACCGCTGGTGCTGCAAACAATTCCCCGTGGGATGGGTCATGCTTTAGTCCCTTGCAATGACTCACGGGCCTCGATTGGCTCTTCTTTTTCAGTTGTTGTGGCTCCTCATTTCTGCGTGGGTCCATGGGAACCCTATTAGTGGTCTTGCTGGCCTGGGGGCCACCAAGGCCCTTTTCTCCCCTGCTGCCTCCAAGCAACTTCATCTGAAGGGCACAGCTGCGGATTTTGCCAGCTCCTGCTCCATGCACTCAGCAGCTCCCACCTGGAAACAGCTGAGCTGTGTTTTCTTTCTCTCATCGTGTCTTCTCCCACCTTCTTGCACTCCGTAGGTCTCTTCTCCTCTTCCCCTGATCTCTAGCAGTCCCAATTTGGCTTGTCATTGCTTTTTTATAGTTGTAAATTGATTGATTTGTGGAAGAGAGTGACTCTGGGGACCATCTATTCCTCCATCTTGACTGGAAGTCTATTCTGTTCTTTATAGTTCATTACAATGTATTGTTTACTTGAAAATTGCTAAGTGAGTAGATTTTAAGTGTTCCTTCCACAGATAAATGATAGTTGTGTGAGGTAATGTATGTTAATCAGCTTGATTTAGCCATTCCATAATGTATACATGTTTCAAAACATAAAATTGTATACTATAAACATATAAAATTTTTATTTGTCAATTAAAGATAGTTTTTAAAAATAAGTATATTATGTTCTATATGTATCTTTCCTGAATATTTCAAGTTTTATAATATGTAATAGTTGTTTTATGTATGTTCTTTTTGAGTTTGGTAATGATTTCACATTATTGAGAATCCTATAATTTATCATAGAGGTTAATATTTTATTATGAGAGGAAAGGGATGATTTGGACTATAGATTTAAAAAGAGAAAGAGTCTGAGTATAATGTATCTTAAAAACAGTATTTTTTAAGTTTATTAGATTCAGATTTAATGACAAAGAAAGCTTTTCTTCTTTATTCCTTAGTTTCCCAAGATAAAATTCTACTTCTTGCATCTCTCATGAGGACTATATCAAATATTCTGAAAGAAGCTTTTGAGATGAAACATTGGCTTTGGAGTTGGAGAGGACTGCCTGGTCCATGTTCTAGATGGTGTGACCTTGAACAAGTTCCTCACCCTTGCTTGGCCCCAACTTCCACCCCTGTGAAGTAAACATAACAATGCACAATACACCAGGTAGTTACAGGATTCAAATGAAGAAACACAGAAGCCCTGGCACGTAATGGGTCCTGGATAAATGTCCACTCTCAGCTTCTCTAAAACTGTTGAAGGCTAATATCAATACACTCTTAAATACTCACAACCAAACCTTGTTTGTTTGAAGTTGGCAATGTTAGGTGTTTTGTTTTACTTCTCATTTCAACAGAGGTGTATTCGAGGGAGGGAGGGAGAACATTGATCTCATGTGGAGGACTAGGGATAAGAGGACATGGAGGAGTCTTGCACCTTGCCCTTCTTTCTTGCGAAGAAACAAAACATTTGTGATTCTTGGGTCCTTGCCTCCCCTCTCTCTCAGAGGTCCTCTCTTTCTCATAGAGGACCCATCTTCTCTCAAGACCAGTGTGCCATCTCCAGTTTACTATTCCCTGCTATAAAGCAGGATTCCTTTAGGGCACTTCAGGTCCAGCCAAGGACCAAGCATTTCACCGGCCAAATGCAGAGCAGGAAATGGACCTTGCCCTGGTACCAGCCCTGCTGCTGTTGATCCAAACATTACTTTTAAGACTTTAAACCAAGCTTACAGAAAAATAAGGAGTGACTCTATTTATATGCTTAACTTCCTGACACCTGTGTTTGTTTAGAGGAAAAATCTCCATGTCTGTACTAACAACCTAATGATGCACACCCTTTATAGAACCAAGTATGGTATTTTTACAGTATGTTTTCTAATATCAGGGAAAAACAAGATCTTTTTCTCAGGTGTTTGGCTATTTCCTTCTGTAATGTTAGATACAGTTTAAACCCTGTTTCTTTTAGGTAATCTTTGTTATGTTAGATTGCAGACCAAATGGAATCAAACCCATTTGGCCTATCTATTGAATTAAACTGTAGAGAATTACTAGTCTGTCTGCTCTCAGAATAATATGAAGTGGCAACTATACAGAACTTATAGAGAATCTGGTAGCCCCTGCATAAAAAAGGAAGGCTTCATACAAAAGTATCAGGAAAAGAATGTATCTGACCATGTCAAGAGGGAAGATAAAACAGGGTCAGAAATGACAGAGTGAGGATGTTGTACTCAGGCTCTGATTGGGGAGATTGTAAATTTGGTCATTCTCTGGAAGAAATGAAGCAAACAAAACCCAAAGAAAAGAAGTTTAGATTTAATGCCTAAAGAAATGATGTTCCCCCAAATATAGAAAAATAGGCATAAACTGACTTAAAATGTGGTGATGGAGTTCACTGAGAGCACTGTATGGAACAACTCGTGTGGCTTTCTGTGAGAGTTTCTCTTTGCAATTGTAACTTTTATATAACTCAGCTTGAGAGAGAGAGAGAGAGAATTTCCCTCGCTTTCTAAATCATGGCTCAGAAGTGTGTTATAAACCACCAAGAACGGAAAAGCCATTACGTGGAATATAGAGAAATACTTGAGTCTACAATATCACTGAATTCTTGGATTCAGTTTCAGCAGACATACTCTGTATTCCCACAAGAGTCTGGAAAATTAAATCCTATTTTTTTCTGTCTGGAGTTGCAGTTAGTGTTATTATTTGCTCCATGGCTCAATCCGGGTCAGACTGTTCTGCAGTAACACAGGTGGATGTTAAAGCAGGGAATCTGTTGAAAAGATTGCGGAGGAACTGCTTCCCTAAAGCAGTGTTGGATGGCATTTTGATGGCAGTCAGCTATGGTAAGGACAAATGAAGCTTAGCAGTACCTTCTAGAATGTGGGCTTTCAGGGTTTGTTACCTGCAGTCCTATAGGCAGAAATTTATTATGAGATGGTGGCATCCTCTGAGAAATGGATTCTAGAAATAGAGGTCATTGAATGCTTAGTCCTTGTGAGTTGTAATGTTGATCTGCATTTTTCTGATTAGCTTTATTTGTGAAATACAATATGTAGTTCTTAAAGAAAGATTACATAAACCTTTTTTAAAAAAAAAATTTGCAGGGGCTTAGAGATATTCTAGAAACTAAAGAAACTAGCTAAAGACTAATTATAGAAAGATTTCTTATTCTATTAAAAGTAGTAGAAAAAGTAATATAGTTATGATTTAAGATAAAGAAATTGTTTTGTGTTAACTAATGTGTTTTATTATCAGCAATTACATTGTTAAAAAGTAACAAGTAAATTTTTCCAAGAGCACAGCACGTAACCATTTGTAAGTAATCACACAAGGGAAACTATATGTTATACTTTCTATCCATTGAATTGTTTTTCTAGTAAACAACTTGATGTAAAATAGACTGAAACATCCACTTATTTTAACAACTATGGTAAATTACAGATTAATGGCCCAAAATAAAATTTGAAATGATTTAATACATAATTCAGCATTAGGGGGGAAATACATCTTTTTCCAGCTGAGGACAGATGTAATTTTTTCTTTTGTGAATAACTTATTTTCCCCTTAATAAGTTTAGGACTTGCCTGAACTTCAGCCAGCCTTAAGAATCCTTTGTTTAGAAATGTTTAATTGTACATTGACTAAAGAGCAACTTGGGATTGAAAAATAGATCAGTATTTCAGTTTCTGACTGTAGACTATTTTAGAGCATTTTGCAAATGCTCCAGGACACTGTGCCTGGAAATAAGATTCCTGAAGAGTAGAGCTTAGGGATGTTTAGGTGGCCCTTACAGAGATGATCCTTTAAGTACATTTTAAGTACAGTGTGTCTTGCACAGTTTGAATTGTACTTCTCAGATTTTTCTTGGATGTAACTATTCTATTTTACCTTTTTTCCCCCCTATAATTCTATTTGGTAAATCTAGGAGTTTACATATCCAAGGGAAAAATTCCCTCCAACATGCTCTCATTACTCACCAGATCAAACACTGGCAGGCCCTAAGGGAGGGTCCCAGCCCTAGCCAACACACACAGATCCCTTCTTATCACTTGGAACAGGCAAACTTGGAACAGAACGAACCCTCCATGGGTTCATACACAGCTTTCTTAAGAAAGCAGGTATCTGTTGAGGTTAAACTAATATTTTTGCAGCAAAAATGAGAATTCTGAGAATATTTTTATTACTTAATTGTGTTTTTTAGAAATGAAACTTTAGGTCAACTGTTTTTACCAAAAATCCACAAAGCACTTTTGTATGTTAATATTTTAAATTGAAATTATAGAGTTCAGAAGAAAATATCAAATTAATCTGAGGCTAAAACAGTGTGAGAAAGTCATATATACTGTCTTTTAAAAATATTTTGTCTATAAAAAAATTTGGAAAGTAATCTCATTTGTTATAGGTGAAAGACTTGGAAGGAAAAAATTCACATTTACACCTGGGTTAGAAGAGAGAAACAGGAGGTGCATTTTTTAAAAGACTACACTTTCAGGATACATTTTTTAAAAGATAGGTGCAAAGCAGTTTATGAAATTGTTTTCTTTCAAGTAAGATAGTAATCTTTTTAAAAATTTTAAATATAACTGAATATCTGATTTTACAGTTGAATGATAGGAATTTAAAAATAGCTCAAAAGCTGCTTCCCTTAAAATTCAAGGTAAAATTACATTTCAGCCTCATTGCAACTCTTTTTTCTTAGAGTAATTATTATCCATGTTATTCTGTATTTGCTGTTTAAACTGTTTCTTTTGGGGGGCTTGCAGGTTAGCTCAGTTGGTTAGAGCACGGTGTTATAAAACCAAAGTCACAGGTTCGAGTAATTATTATCCATGTTATTCTGTATTTGCTGTTTAAACTGTTTTTATTTGGGGCTTGCAGGTTAGCTCAGTTGGTTAGAGCACGGTGTTATAAAACCAAAGTCACAGGTTCAGATCCCTGTACCAGCTAGCTGCAAAAAAAATAAAAATAAAAAAATTTAAAAACTATCTTTATTTCTCTGATTTATTTAGTCATTCTCCAGTGCTCCGAGAAAGTGATGAATCTAGGTAAATAGAAGATGTCTATAATGGAAGATTTCACTTTCCATGAATTTCTAGTTTTCATAGGATGCATTCTTCTCTTTGGAGCTCTAGGTTCTTGGAAAAAGGAAAGATTTCTGTAATTTTATTGTTAGACTGTGTCAACACAGTATATTGTCATAGCTACTTTTAAGTACTTAAAGGCTGTTTCTGCATAGCACTAAAATTTAATGATGAGAGTGTTAGTCTACTGTTCTCAGAAGTGTTCACTTTTTAGTCCAATTTTCTGGCATTGTATAGATAAAGCTTTAGAAACCCCAGACATTTGCCTACCATGTCTTTGAAGAAGCTAATCATATCAGGGGTGTGGATCATATCTCTGCTTAAAACTTTATTTTTCCTTTATGCACCATCATGCTTGCAGAAGGGATATAAGGCAGCTTAAAAGGATATATGAAATTAAGGTAGAATCAATCAGAAAAAGGGTACAGTAATACAATAAAAATAATTACTGTCAAATAGAGCCAGGAACACAGTTAATGATAACTCATGTTCTACACACCATTACAGATAGGTCACCAATTCCACTCTGAACTTTATAACTGCCAGCATAAAGAGATAAAAGTGGTAGGTGTTTCAGTCTATGAGGACCTAAAGATAGGAGGCAAATCACTTACTGAGGAGAAGTGACAGTGTGCTTACTGCTACGCTCAGAGAGGACTTTCCTCCATGTGGATAGTGTGTGATGATGTAAATAGAATCATCTACGTCATTTTTATAGTAGGTGCAATTCACTTAATCCAGTATTACAGTAAGTAAACGCTCTTAATTCAGATGTACATTTTAGAATTTCTGGAGGAATAGACTGTGTGTTCTTCAGGCAATCCTCCCTGATTGTTTTTGATAAATAGTGACAATGAGCCCAAGAGTTTATTGCTGAGGGCTAGCTGGTTAGCTCAGTTGGTTAGAGTACAGCCTTATAACACCAAGGTCACGGGTTCGGATCACCATACCAGCCAGCCGCAAAAAATATATATATATATACATATATATATATATATATTGCTGAACAAGTGGCTGGGATACAGGAAAACAAGGCCAAGATCCNCTTCAGGCAATCCTCCCTGATTGTTTTTGATAAATAGTGACAATGAGCCCAAGAGTTTATTTCTGAGGGCTAGCTGGTTAGCTCAGTTGGTTAGAGTACAGCCTTATAACACCAAGGTCACGGGTTCGGATCACCATACCAGCCAGCTGCAAAAAAATATATATATATACATATATATATATATATATATTGCTGAACAAGTGGCTGGGATACAGGAAAACAAGGCCAAGATCCTCCAAAGGAAAAAAATCTTTGAGTCCACTTGAGCACACACACACACACACACACACACACACAAAAGTGAGCCATCACAGCTCCACAGTTCTCTTTTCCTTTAACCAGGCTGACATAGGTACAATCTCAAAAAAGGTAAGGTACTGTGTCTGGACTCCCCATGACCTAAGTAAAATCTCAGTAAAACATTGATTGAACTTGGGCAATGTTGTTGCCTTGTGTTGTCTCCAAGATGAAATACCTGAGAACAGTATACCCTAGCAACTAAATGATTTGATTTTCCCCAGATTATTACTTATGAGGGGTACTTCAAAAAGTTCATGGAAAAATGGAATTAAAATGTAATATGAATCTTTCCATGAAGTTTTTGAAGACCCCTCATATGTAACAAATAACAAAATAACTTTGGTTTTAGGATATTTGAATTCTAGTCCCTTTTTTGATCATTATCAGCTAGTAAGTTTGTTTTATCAGCCTATTCCTAGTTAGAGATTCCAACAAAAATACTATTTCTCTATACTCTCACACAGAACACTTCTGACACCAGATGTGCATTTTCACCCCACATTGATCAGTTTTCTAACACCAGCTGGGCTTCCTACAATTCAAATCAATTCTGACACTATCTACCTGAAGTTAGCATCAGATCCCATAAATTAAGGACTCAGTCCCACAAGACTGCTCCCATTTCAGATGCCAATCACAAGTCTGGGCCTCTTGTACTCCTGATTGACTATAAATCAGGGGTTTCTATAATCCCATCCTTATGTTTAGTAATTTGCTAGAATGGTTCACAGAACTCAAGGAAACACTTCACTTACATTTACCAGTTTATTACAAAGGATGCAACTTAGGAACGGCCAGGTGGAAGAGATGCAAAGGACTAGATAGGGGATGGGCATGGCACTTCCACGCCTTCTCTGGGCACGCCACCCTCCCAGCACTTCCATGTACTCGTGTTCACTAATGTGCTCATATTCACCAACGCCGAAGTGCATCAAATCTTGTTCAGGAGTTTTGACAGAGTTTAATCTCCAGCTCCACCACTCCAGTCCCCCTCACTTTCCTGGAGGTCAGTAGGTGATATTGAAAGTTCCAACCCTATAATCACTTGGTCTTTCTAGTGACCAGCCTCATCTTAAGGCTACCTGGGGACCCCACCCTGTCCCCACTCTTATCTCTCAAGAAATTCCAAGGGTTTTATGAGTTCTGTGCCAGGAACCAGAGGCAAAGACCGAATATATTTCTTATTATACCACAGAGATAAAAGAAATCATGTCTGTGTAAAGAACACTTGGGTTTCTGCTATCTATAGCAGAAGAACAAGCATGTTTCATCCAAAAGCAGTATAGGATCAATAAGAAACAAGATGAAAAGAAGAGGAGCCAGAATATACCCACAATCTTTTATTCCTTTTGCATTCTCCCTTTCTTCTCTCTCCTAAATAAATAGTTGCAAAGAGGCAGGGGCCCTTTATTTTCTA